ACAGGATCACAGAGTAATCTCTGACAACGCTGGCTCTTCGGCTTAATAACAGAGATGAGCCCCACCTCCTATGGTCGGACACGACTTGACAACCTTGTCAACGGGGAATACCTTTACCTTTATAGAAGTTACAGATCTAGTTTGAGAATTGGACTATGACTCTGGGGACCACGGTTGGAATCTTAGCTTGGCCATGTAAACCTACTGGATGATCATTCCAACCCCCCTCTGAATAAACTTGCAAAGGAAACCCCATGACAGCTTCACCTTATTGTTGCTATAAGTCAGAAATGACTTGAAGGCACACACAACAACAACAGAAGTCATAAAGCTTACTTAAAGTTTTCCCATTCACCAGATCCTTGAGAAAGAAAAGTGTGTATGGCGTTGAACGGGACATTTTCTGATTTCGTCCTATATTTCCTACACGTTAATAGGAAAAAAACTGGTTTAAACCAAAAACCCTGTTTTTTCCCCAACCTTGCTAGTGAGGACTCAGAAGAAAGACTTCTTGTTGGCTACTCCCAGACTGTGAAAATCTCTTCCAAGAGAGGTTTAGTCGGACCTTTCTCTGCTTACTTTTCACCATCAGGCAAAGTCCTTCATATTTAAACAGGTCTTCAGCTTTTAACTGGTTGGGGGTAGTGCAAAAGGTGCATTAGTTCTTAATATCTAAAAGGTTTTAATTTGATCCCAACTCTTCTAATGTTTTTAAGTGGATTGTTGTTTAATGATTTTTTTTTAAAAAAAAATTGTATTAGAATCATTTTTAGCTATTTCATTTTAATGTACAACGTAAGCTGCTTTGACGCCCCTAAGGGTGAAAGGCAGGATATCCATTAAATAAATAAATAGACTGGACAATTCAACACTGCTTATCGTAGATGCTTATTTGTTTTGTTTCATCGAAGAAAAAAAAGAGTTTTCAGTGTATTCCACAGCTTCTCCTCTTATATTAACTGTGCAAGTGGACTTACAAAACTCAAGGGTTGTGAAAGCACAGGCAGGAAGTCATGATTCTGGTAAAAAGAGGGTCTCTTCCAGTCACAAGCATTAGAAATTCTCATCCTGTGCAGATGTATAGCAAATGCGTTGGGGGTGGAGGAAATCAAGACAATGCTTATTATGCCCACGGCTAATCTCTCCCAACCACAGACAACCATCGCTGAATTTAAACTGAGTTTCCCTGCATACAATTGTATACAGAAACATGCTTCCATGCAAAAATAGGGCATGCACTGCCTACCTACAGTTTCAGGGTGCATACAGCTTATACTCATGTAAGATCTAAACCCAAGATGCTGAACTCAGCCTTGGGAAGAAAATTAATTTGTTGACATTGAAACATTTTTAAAGCAATAAGATTAATGTCATCATTAAATCATTCATGGATTTGTTAGACCATTACATTTTAAAATAATACGGGTTGAGCTTCCCTTCTCCAAAGTGGTTGGGACCAGAGGTGCTTTGGATTTTAGTTTTTTTGGGATTTTGGAATACCTATATTTGCACATACATATATAATGGAATATCTTGGGGATGGGACCCAAGTCTATTCACAACATTCATTTCTGTTTCATATACACCTTATATACATAGCTGGAAGGTCATTTTGTACACAGTATTTTCAATAATTGGGTGCATGAAAGAAATTGTGTGTACACTGAGCCATCAGAAACCAAAAGTGTCACTACCTCAGCCACCCATGAAAAAAGTTTTGGTTTTTCGAGAATTTCCTATTTCAGAATTCTGGGTAAGGGAGATTCAACCTGTATTTGAAATAGCTCAAAATGGCCAGTAACAGATTAAGGTGATGAGAAACCTTGTTACTCAAAAACAAAATAATGTCAGTAGTTTACTATAAAAGTAGTGGCCAAAGGCATCTGAGGGAGTAGACTGAAGTCTAGGGACCTTATCGCACGGAGGCAAATTGTTTAAATCCTGTGCAGAAATGGGATTTAAAAATCCCAAAACCCCCCCGCAAAAGCAGGTTATTTTTCAGACTTATCAGGAAAGCTCATGCTGCCAATTTCGTTTTTCAGTTAGCCTCAAAGGTGCTGCAAGATCTCTCTACATACTATATTTTTTTTCAAGCAACAACTGCTAAAATTACCTTACTCTACACAGTTATTAAAGATGCAAGAGCCCTGTCCCTCAATTCACTTGGCAACCCTACTGAAATCTCACCATTGCCAGGACTAAACAAAGATGCTGTCTCACATCTTCTGGAAGGTGATGTGTCTTTCCATCTGTGCTCCGTTTCATTCCAAGCTTTCATTCTAAGTTTCTGGAGGTAAGGAATGGGGATAACAGGCAATATTCTAACTTTTTTTTTTAACACCTTCTCTTTTGCTGCATATGCACTGCAGAAATAATCCAGTTTGACACCAATTTAATTGCCGTGGCTCAATGCTATAGGATTCTGGGAAGTATAGTTTTGGGAGACATTTAGCCTTCTCTCTCAAAGAGCTCTGGTGCCGCAACAAGTTACAGTTACCAGAATTCCACAGGACAGAGCCACAGTAGTTAAAGTGGTATCAAACTAGATTATTTCTGCAGTGCGGATGCAGCCCTTCTTGCACAGGCTGCATGCATACATTGAAAGTCACTGAGCAGGGCTCCTGAATCTTTTTATTGCAGAAAGCAAAGTCTGCAATGACAAACTGGGACTGGAGCAGCGGTGGAAAACACTGAGCTTTTACTAGACACTAGCTGGCCCAGGGTACATCCACACTACACAATTATAGGACTACAATCCACTTTAATTGTCATGGCAACATCCTACAGAATCATGGGATTTGTAGTTCAGTGTAACACCAGAGCTTCCCCCCCCCAAAAAACCCCTCCAAATAGGTTGAAACTATAGCAATTAAAGTGAAAGCATAGTGCTATAATTATGTAGTGTGACTGGAGCCCAAGACATTTTGCTGCCCGAGGCACATTATCAATGGCACTCTTGCATCACCACCAGAAGACAAGATGTATAGTATTCAAGGTTATCCCCTCATCATTTCCTGAAGGCTACAGCAAATAATGTTATAGCAACTAATGCAATACAGCACTGCAATAACTGTAACACTGTATCCTGCGGAGTTGATCTTATTATCTTATGATCTTTTTATTTTATTATCGGAGTTGATCTTATTAATTTATTTGCGGTTATTTATTGATATTTCTACAAGCTGTAGAAACATGCAAACCACATGTAGGAAGAAGTCTTGTCTCAAAGAAACCACAATTAAAATTCACTCCAGTTTGATGGGGGAGTAGTCACATTTTAACTGTCTTCACATGTCTGTGAGAATCTTGGGTTCGTTCCTGATTTCACCCCGGAGTTGTGTTAAATTTCTGATACATGAATGCATATCTACTGTACATTTTTACTGTATCTGCACAAGATGAAGATTTCTCCTGCTCATGACTTACTTTAACAGAAGAAATCTCTTTAGATAAGAATTCTCTAAAACTCAGGGTACAGATCCAAAGTGCAGCTGTGACAAGTTAGAAAGAGCACATGTATGTTTTTTGTGAAATGAACAGAAGACATCGCGAGCTGCATTTAATTTAAAACAGAAGGGAAAGCTTCTGAACTTACCTTTTGCATGTACGCTACAAAAAAAGAACATGAGCTCTAGGCTGAACTCCAGTTCTTTCTCCTGACCATAGCTTTGTGTTAAGATCCAAAACTTTGGACAGTATTTAGGACAGTAGTATAAAATTTACACTAGTCTAAAGATTGCAGCTCAGAATTAGGGGCATACAATGAAAATAGTTGTCTTTTTTAACCCTACAATATTAGAAGTAGTAGGTTGTAGTTGTTGTGTACCTTCAAGTCATTTCTGACTTACCCATACCCTAAAGCCAAGCTATCATGGGGTTTTCTTGGCAAGATGTGTTCACAGGATTGTCTTCCCCGAAGGCTGAGAGTGTGTGACTTGCCCAAGGTCACCCAGTGGGTTTCGTGGCCAGGCTGAGAATTGACCCTGGTCTCCAGCCTCATAGTCCAACACTCAAACCACTATGCCACATACAATTTGTTTAAACCTATTGTTTATGAATAGCAAAACATTTGCAAATATTGGTAAATTCTTCCAAAAGAAACTGAAACAAAAGTTGCCAAATTCAATAGCTACAGCTATTCCCAGCACAGAGTGGATCATGTTGCACTCAAGAAATACACAGATATTAAAGATGAGGGGGCTTTTCGGGAAAATAAAATTGGCAACCCTAACTTAGCATTCAGTTACAGAAGCATTTGAAGTTTTAAAATATTCAAGGCTCCGGTTAAAAAATAATCATTCCAAAGACTCAGGTTCTTCTCTGCTCACATATCAAGAACTTTGCAAATGGGGAGGAAAAAATTCTTATACAGAAAATTGCTGAAACGACATTGCGTCAACAACATCGGACTAGATTAACCAATGGTCCATTTCAATAAAGCGTAATAGCCATCTTCAAATATCTGAAGGGCAGCCGTGTGGAAAATGGAGCAAACTTGTTTTCTGCTGCTCCAGAGGCCAGGATCGGAGCCAGTGGGTTCAAACTACACAGAAGGCGATCTCAGCTAAACATTAGGAAGAACGTCTTGGTGATCGGAGCTGTTAAGAAAGTGGAACAGACTCCCTCAAAAGGGAGTATCAGTATACTCTTCTGCATTGGGTTTTTTAAAACAGAAGTGGGGTGCCCATCTCTCATAGTTACTTTAATTCCTGCAACTGGCAGAGGGTTAGTCTAGATGACCTTTGGGAGTCCTTCCAACTGCACTTCTATGATTCTAAGGCAGCATCTCACAGTCCTTATGGATGTATCTAGCCTGGTAGTAGACCCCATGGGAATCATCTCTATTCCCATGCTATTGTTGTCGCTGCTGTGTGCCTTTTCTTCCGACTTATGGCGAACCTATCACAGGGTTTTTTGGGGCCAGATTTGTTCAGATTTGCTATCGCCATCATCTGAGGCTGAGAGAGTGTGACTTGCCCAAGGTCCCCCAGTGGGTTTCACGGCGCTGCAGGGATTTGAACCCTGGTCCCCAAAGTTGCCGTCCAACACTCAAACCACTGCGCCACACTGTCTCTCACCCTTATGCCTACCCCCTTGGATTAAACTGAGGCTTTGTCAAATCTGGGAGGGAGGGTTCATTGTTTTGGAGGCCTGCGATGAGACAAAATGTATGGCTCTCCCTCCCAACAAAATTCGTCATTCTGGGAGGCCCCAAGCCCAGTTACACAAGGTTTAGGAATTCAGGAACTGTGGGGTGGTTTTTTAAAGAGGTCATACAGGGACAAGCAGTATTTCAGCACAGCCTCACATCTTCCTCCTTGGGCCCTTTCATTCCATTGGGCAAGAACTTGTTCTCAGTTGTACCTTTGCACATTCAGCTGGGACAGAAATCAAACATACGCCTATATCAAGGTATGAATCCTCTGAGGCTGAGAGAGTGTGGCTTGCCCAAGGTCACCCAGTAGGTTTCATGGCTCAGCAGGGATTCGAACCCTGGTCTCCAGAGTCATCGCCCAATCAATGCTCAAACCGCTACACAACACAGGCTCTCGAAATTATGTAATACATTGGAATAATTGTAGTATGACATTCTGGCACTGAAGAAGGTGTACTTCTTTGCCCTGATCTGGAACTTACTGAGGCTGAGAGTGTGTGACTTGTCCAAGGTTACCCAGTGGGTTTACGTGGCCAAGCAGGGATTTGAACCCTGGGCTCCAGAGTCCTAGTCCAATGCTCAAACCACTACACCATGCTGGCTCTCATGACTCTGTATTTTAATTTGTAATTTTCAGTAGGGACAAGTTAGTGCTGAGATCCAGATTGATCTCCCTTATACAAAAAGCTTTGGACCCAAGGTATTATGGATTTCAGATTTTTTCCCAATATTTGGAAATATTTGCAAGTACGTAATGAGATGAGGATGGGACCCAAATCTAAATACGAAATCCATTTATGTTTCATAGGTCCAAAACACGCTGCGGAAATGATCCCATTTGAGACCGCTTTAGTTACCCTGGCTCAGCGCTAGGGAATCCTGGGATGTGTCGTTCATTGCTTTCATAAAGCTAAATGTCCCACAAAACTAGTTCCCAGAATTCCCTAACATTGAGCCAGGGCAGTTAAAGCGGTCTCAAACTGGATGATTTCTGTAGTGTGTTTTGGACCCTATGCAGGTTACAAACCCACTCTGGCAGTAATTTTATACCTAATCTTTGAAACAGTTTTGTGCATGAAACAAAGTTGGTGCACAGTGACCCATCAGAAAGCAAAGGTGACACTGTCTCAGCCATTCTTATGGACAATTTCGGATTTGTGAATTCCGGATACGGGACACTCACAACCTGTATTAGTGATACACCCTGGTCTCCAGAGTCATCGCCCAATGCTCAAACCATTATATCACCTATACTGGGAATTATTTCCGCAGCATCTGGAGGGCTGGACAATTCCCACATCTGTACTTATTATTATTATTATTAGTAGTAGTATTTATACCCCGCTCTTCAGCCAAAAGGCTACTAGAATGGCTTACAAATGATTAATTAGACATTTGTCCCTGCTATAAGATCGCACCGAAACTGGTAAGACTGGGAAAGATATTTTGTTTTAAATCATGTTATGCTTTTATTAGGCAACACAAAATTTCTCGCTAGTCCCTCTCTCGCATCAGCATCTTCTCTTTCTAAATTATACCTCTCTTCCCAGATCAATATGGCATTTCGACTAGGCCTGGAGACAGAGGACCTGGGTTCCAATCCTTTCCCATTGGATCCCATTGGGTTCACTGGCTGCAACACAGGCAGACTGCCATCTCTAGCCCCTAACCAACCTTTTTATTTTATTTTATTTTATTTTATTTTATTTGTATGCTGCCTTTCTCCCAGAAAGAGACCCAAGGCAGCTCACAGAAAGACATGTTAAAAACATCCACAATAAAATTCTAAATAATTCAAATCATTTAAAAACATTATTAAAATCACATAAAAATCTACAAAAGTGAGAAGACATAACTAAGGTCCAAAATGCACTGCAGAGATAATCCACTTTGAGACCGCTTTAACTGCCTTGGCTCAATGCTAGGGAATTCTGGGAAGTGTTGTTTTGTGAGACATTGAGCCTTCTCTGTCAGAGAGCTCTGGTGCCACAATGAACTACAATTCCCACGATTTTTCTAGCTACAATAAACTACAATCCCACGATTTTTAGCTGCACTGAGCCAGGGCAGCTAAAGCGGTCTCAAACTGGATTATTTCTGCAGTGTGTTTTGGACCTGAAACACTCAAAAAGGGACTTTTCTTTAAATGGTAAAAAGACTTTTTTTAAATGATGATAATGATGATGATGATGATGATGAAAGAGTCCACCAACATTAGGGTCCAAGAGCTCTCCAAATCAACATTGCCTTCCTTAGGGTCAAAATCAAAAATCAGGGCCAACCTTGCAAGGTTGTTGTATGGAGGAAAAAAGGCTATGATGGTGGTGAGGGGAAGAAGGATTGAAGAAACATTCAAGTTTCTTCCAGGAAGGACAAGAATCTTTTCAAAATTACAACAGATCAAGTTTCCAACAGATCCACACCATCAAGAGACACAAAACAAACCAGAAAAATCAGACACACAAACACAGTGAAAGAAGGTCAGATACAGAGTCCAACTCTTTCTTTCTTTCTTTCTTTCTGCTAAAAAATCATCAAGCCATGGCTGAACCCTTTCCTCTTCCTCCACTCCCTCCTTCCTGGCCACACTGCAGAATTAATGCAGTTTGACACCGCTTTAACTCCCCTGGCTCCATCCTCAGGCATCCTGGGATTTGTGAGGGCCCCAGAGATCTCCAACAGAGGAGGCTAAACATCTCTCCCAGTACTACAAATCCCCCC